CTTGCAAGGCAGGCACTTAGCAGCTGAGCTAAATCCCCAGCTGCTAAATTCCCTGGTTCTTTAGCTGCTGAAGTATTCAGTACTCAAGTGATAGAAGTAGCAATTTATTGTGTCGAATCCAGGACCCTTTCCCCCCCGAGTACTAAGAACTATAAAAATGTGACTTCTTTTGATAAAGGACATTAACAAGATGCTGTTTCTGCACTAAGAACAACATCTTGGCTGACTAGTCTGAGTGACCAAGGACAGAAAAAAGGGACCACAAAAGAACAGTGCTGTTAACGGTGAATGTTTTTACAGTGTTTTTACGGTGATTGATACCAGATTGCGAATTTACACTGTCAGTGACATGGTCAGGGCAGTCTGAGCTACAGCCAGGAATTTCAGCGCATAAACAGAAACCCAAAGGTCTCTGAAACTTCAGATGAGATCCAGCCAGTGGGGAAGGAAGTAATGGCAAAAAGGGATTACCATGTGAAGATACAGAAAAGGTAAATGCATAAAAATTGTGTATTCATTGATTCATTCTATAAGTATTTGAGGGACTACACATGCTAGTGACACAGATGAAAATCCATTGAAAAAATTCACTAAGGATCTGTTACAGGCCAGGTCCTGCTTTGGGTGCTTCAGGCAGCATGGAACACATGTTCTGTGGGGACATGAAGGGAGTCACATTCTCATGGAAGGTATGGATTCAACCCTATGCATACACACATACCTATGCATACAGCTGCATACTGTGCAGAAATATGCTGCCGGTGCAGGCCTAGCCTGTGCAGCTTAGCAAGACCTTGTCTCAAAATCTGAAATATTTTTGATGTTTTGGTTATGTATCTTTTTTTTTTTTTTTTAATCCGTACTGGGGATCGAACTCACGACTGCGCACTTGCAAGGCAGGTGCTTATGCCGCTGAGCCAAATCCCCAGCCCCTAGTTATGTATCTTTAATGCAATTTTAATTTTTTTATTAACTTGATTGAGTTTTTAAAACTTAAAAAGGTCTGGGGAAGTAGATTAGTGGAAAGGCCCTGGCTCAAATTGCCAGTGTGTCTGCCCCCACACAAAAGTATACTTCGAAAAGAATACCTGCTAGCCTCAGGAACATGTGCTATAAAAACATTCAGTCATAGGCACTGGGTTCCAATCCCTACAACCACCAAATTAAATCTCACTGGGTCAATCCTATGACTAAGAAATACACTGAAAAATCTCAGTGGAGAGTGCTTGCTTACTATGTACAAGGTCCTGGGTCTCATCTCCAGCACAGGGAAGAAGCAGGGGAAGACACAGGGAGATTACACTTTCATAGCTATCAGTCTCTCAACCCTCCAGCTCATCAGGAAAACAAAAAGCTTAACGACCTCCCTGCCCTCCGGTGGCTGTACTTGAGTGGTCTACAAACAGCAGGGAAAGCCGCTCACATCCCCAGTTGTTAACGTTATGTACACCGTGAGGACCAATTATCTGGTTCGGAATGTTTCCCAAATGCAAGCAGCAGGACAAAGGGCCCCAAATACAGCTGCTCTCATGTCAGCCCAAGAACTAATTCCAGTGTTCATTCCGGAGCTCTTCCTGGAGAAGAGCTAAAAGTCAGGGCTCAAATTCCAGCTCCAACTCCAGGTCACAGTGCAGTCAATGAGCAATGCCATTGAGATTTCCTAAGCAATTCTCCCAAAGCCCATATCCTTTGCTAACATAAAGTCAGGTAGGGTAGGGAAGAGAGTAGGCCAATCAACTCTGCCTTTGGACTTAGACCTCCCTGTTTATGGAGGATTAATGGCAAAGCTGGTCCACACCTGTGGCTGAAAGGCTGATGTCCTGTATTCCACCCTTCAAGAAAGGGTTCCTAGCCAGATCTGATGGCACATACCTGTAATCCCAGCACTCAGGAGGCCGAGGCAGCAGGACTGCAGCAAGTTTGAGGCCAGCCAGGGCTACATAGCAAGTTCAAAGTTAGCCTGAACTACATAGTGAGACTGTCTCAAAAAAACCCCCAAAACAATAATATATATATAAAAACAAAGACAGACCTAAAAAAATAAAAAAATTTAAAAAAAAAAGAAAGACAGACCTGTTATCCAGTGGGGACTGGCTTTGTAAGGGGGCTAAAATAGAGATTCAATATTCTATAATTAGTGACATCAAAAAGGTCTCATATTTTGCCTGGTGGTAGGATTTCCCATATTTATCCTCCATTCCCATTTCCAGATTTATGTATTCCAAATAAAAGTGTAAAGAGCTGGGCGTAGTGACACACCCTTATAATCCCACCACTGGGGAGACTGAGGCAGGAGGATTGCCTACAGGGAAAATTGCTGCAAGTTTGAGGCCAGCCTGAACTACGGAGTGGGACTCTTCTAAAAAAAAAAAAAAATGTGTAAACCGGGGGGAGGGGGGGGAATCTGTATTGGTATCTACATCTATCATTCTCTATCAATTCCTACATAATATAATCAATAAGATACTTCTTCCAAAAGAGATTGTGTAGTATCAATATAGCACAATCATGAGTAAAAAATAATACAAGTCACCTTGTGCAGTAAAAAGCTTTGTTAAGCTGGATGCGGCAGACCTGGAAATGTGAGGTAGCAGTGCCAAGTGCTTCTCAAATTCAAGGTACCAAGTCCAGTGCTGTGTAAGAGGAAAAAGAAAAGCAATGCAGAATCTACCTTCCTGTGGATTCCTATGCAAGCCCCTCAGGTCTTATTTCTAAGTTGCCTGTTAAAAACAATGAACAGAAAGACTCCAGTCACTCCAGCAGGCAAATAATACAAAACTAAATTTGCTGGAGAAAATGCAACAGACATGCCTATCAATACTATAAATATAGCTAGCCTGAATATAGCAAGTGCTGTATCTATCAATACTACAATCATAGAACAATCATACACAGCAATTCCATTTCTTGGAATCTTCCTACAGACATAATGGAAACAAGGGCCATGTATCATACATACAAAGATGTTCACTGCACCCCACTGTGTGAGGACCAGGCTGGAAATAAACTGGGAGCATCTTTGCAATACATCACACAGCAGCAAGGAACCGATGAGAACCTGAGCATGGCGGCTCACGCCTACTATCCCAGGGCGGTGAGGCAGAGAACTGCTGGGTGTTTAAGGCCATTCTGAACCACACAGCAAGACCCTGTCTCAATAAACAAATTAATTAATTTTTTAAAAAAACAAGAACACAGATTCACCCTTTCCAAAGACATACAACCTGAATCTCATCCAGAAATATCTCATAAACCCAGGATATAGAATTTTGACAAAGTAACAAAATGTGAGCCCTCAAAAGTATCAAAGTCTGGGCCAGCCGCATAAGTGCCTACCTTGCAAGTGCAAGGTCATGAGTTCGATCTATGGTACCAAACAAAAATATCAAACTTTTCAAAGTCAAGGACTTTAGCTGAGAACTACTGCAGCTTGCAGAGGCTAAGAGCTGCCACACTACACTGGTGCCTTCTGCTCTAAACACTGCTATGACAAAGGGCAGAATGTTTGAGAATCAGATGGGAGTCACAGGTATTAAGGTCCTGATTTTGACGGTTATGTCTGGTTCTGAAAGGGAAAATCCTTGTTTTCAGGAATAGCACGTAGAAGTGTGACAGGTGGAGAGATACAAAGGTAATAATTTACCCTAAAATCAGCCGCTTCACATAGACATAGCATGCCCATGCTGGGTCATCAGTCACACAGACAAGCTTTCTGTAAGTTTCTGTTTCAAACTAAGAATCTTTAACAGATGAGGCAGCTCTTCACATACTGATATGCTTAATTTTTATATGAACATTACATTGTTATAACCAGAGGAAAGTATTAAAATGCTTATTATCTATAGGAAACACTGTGCAGGAGATTTTGTTGCACTTGCATATACATGACATGACTCACGCCATGACCCACTTCCCCGACCTCCCTCAGACCCAGCCTGCTCAGTCCCCTCAATGGGAATAAGGAAAGCCATCCTGTAGGGTTTAAGGATTCAAAGGGATACATACAAAGTGCCTGGCACACTGCAGAAACTCAATGTTATTCCTATTTCTGTCTGCAAGAATCCAAATTTTGTTATTTTTTTCAGGCAGAGTCTCACTACATATTTTATGCTGGTTATGAAGTCACTTTTTAACCTAGGCTGACTTCCAATTCGCATGAACCTCCTGCCTCAGCCTCCCGAGTGTTCAGATACAGGTACATGCCAACTGTGCCTAGCCAGGAAGCCAGATGATTAAGACATGAAGGCCTGAATTTCCTAAGACTAACGGCTGGACCATCTCACCCTTTCTGAGGTGATGGGAAGGATGAGAAATCTAATCTCACATACAAACTTATTCTCAGACCAGAATTCCTCCAGGGTCAGCCCTCTAGCCCTATACTGAGGAGTGGTACTGCTATCTCCAAGAGATAGTTGGAAAATTTTAAATGTGCAAAACAAAATGCTGTGCAAAACTGTCTTGATAGACCAGGACATACACATGTAATCCCAGTCCCTTGGGCGGCTGATGCACAAAAATTAAAATTACAAATTTAAGCCCCGTCGGGGCAACTCAGTGACTTAGTGAGACCCCATTGTGAAAAACAGAACTAGCACTGTAACTCAGTGCAAAGGCTCTGGGTTCAATCCCAGTACCACCAAAAACAAACAGAAAACTGTCTTGATAGGTGCAAACCAGAGCAGTTAGGAGGTATGCCTAACAATAACACGGTTTTCAGTAGAGCTAGACTGGCAGCCACCGGTTCAGGTTCAGTGATGCAAAGGTAAGATACTTGGCACTGAAAGTCTGGAAAGACGGTCAAGTAAACCAGTAACAGTAGAAGCTCACAAACAAGACAGGAATTCCAGAAACTAGAACTAATTTGGAAAGAGGTTTAACATAGACTAAATTAACATAGTTTAAATTTGTAATTTAAAAAATGGAACTATTCACAT